AATTAGTGAGCTTGGAGATAGAAATTGTTCAGATGGAAGAGGATAACTAAGATATCTTTAAAATGAAAGAACTCTACGAGAACTGTCTGATTCCATTAAAAAGAGCAACATAAGGATGCTGGGTATCCCAGAAGGAAAAGAGATGAAGAATGAAACAGAGAGCCTATTCAAATAAATTATCGATGAGACCTTCCCAAGCCTAGGGAAGAAACCGAACACACAAGCATAAGAAGCTAGCAGAACACCTAACTGTCTCAATGCAAAAAGAACTTCTCTCCAAGATAATAGTATTAAAACTGTTAAAGGTTCATAATAAAGAAAGAATTTTCAAGGCAGTGGGGGGGAGGGGAGAATAACCTATAAAGGAAAAACCAACAGATTAGCATCAGATTTTTCAGCAGAAACTCTACAGGAGAGAAGAGAACAATATATTCAAAATATCAAAAGATGGTAATGGCAAGACAATCATACTCCATATAACAAAGTTATCCATTAGATATGAAGGAGAAATAAAGGCTTTCAAACGAAAACTGAGGGAACTGACCACCAAAAGACCTGCACTAAAAGGAATGTTGAAAGGGGCTCTTCTACCTGAAACAAAGAGACAAAAGTACATAAAACTGAGTAAAGTGAAACACACAGACAGAATAAGAGAAAATGCAAGTACATTTCAGAAGAGGGTACTAAACATATAATTATAATATAAAGTTTAAAGGGGGAAAAAGCAGTGAAAACAACTATAGCTACTTCTATTTCTTCACAAACACACAATATAAAAAAAGATAATTTGTGCTAATCCAAATATAAATAGGATGAGGTAACTGGTGGAACCGGTATAGGCAAATGAAGATAACATGCTATCAGAAGAAACAGGACTATTTTTTCAAACTGATATATATACTTTTTTTCACTTTGAAAGAAATATATTTATCTCACCTTTTCCTGAACAAGTAAATGGCTTTGGTCATTTGTACAAAGATTCTAAAAACTGGCTTTCAGCCAAATGAACGTTACCATGACAAGCTTGAGCTCTGACTCAATCCCTGTGAAGTCTGCTCCGATGGCCTAGGCTGGACATCTAAGCCTGGAAGATGCCTCTGGCAGCTCCACGCTTTCCTCCCCTCCCCTCCTCAAATTCATATTTTAAACCATCCTTATGGTAACCACAAAACAGAAATGCAGAGCTCAGACGTGAAACAATAAAAAGAACGAAGTGAAGAAAAACATTATAGGAAACCACCAAACTAAAACAACACACAAAAACACAAGGTAAAAGAAACAATGGAGCAATCAGAAAAAAAATATAAAATGGTAATAGTAAGCCCTCATTCTATCTAATAGACAAACATGGTAATTGACCATACCTCCACTATGCTTCCCATTAGCTAATCAGCAGGATATGCAAATTAACTCCCAACAAAGATGGCGGCTGGCAGCCACGCAGCTGAAGTGAACATGAGGCTTGCTTGCTCCAGTAATGGAGGAAGCCAAGGTTCCCCACCTGCCGCGGCCCAGCTCTGAGCTCCGGGAGCAACAATGTTTCAATTATAGAAGCCAAACAAACCCCAGATACCTGCTTTCAGCTGGCCATGGCCTCAGAGCTTAGAGCGCCAGTGATGGCAACAGAGTCTCAATTATAGAAGCTAAACAAACCCAGATACCTGCTTGCAGCCAGCCGCAGCCTCAGAGCTGGAGCCGGCTCTCAGCTTCAGTGACAGCTATAGAAGGTAAATAAATCCCAGAATTTAAAAAAAATGAAAAAAAAAAGAGGCTGGGAGCTTCAGTCGCCCGCCAGCCTGAAAACAGCCCTCAGCCCCTCACCCAGACTGGCCAGGCACCCCAGTGGGGACCCGCACCCTGAAGGGGGTGTGGCCAGCTGCAAACAGCCATCAGCCCGTCATCCAGGCTGGCCAGGCACCCAAGCGGGACCCCCACCCTAATCCGGAGCACCCTTCAGGGCAAACCAGCCGGCCCCCACCCGTGCACCAGGCCTCTATCCTATATAGTAAAAGGGTAATATGCAAACTGACCCTAACAGCAGAAAGACTGGGAATGACTGGTCACTATGATACACACTGACCACCAGGGGGCAGACGCTCAATGCAGGAGCTGCCCTCTGGTGGTCAGTGCGCTCTCACAGGGGGGAGCTCTGCTCAGCCACAAGCCAGGCTGATGGCTGCCAGTACAGCGGTGGTGGTGGGAGCCTCTCCTGCCTCCTCAGCAGCACTAAGGATTTCTGACTGCAGCTTAGGTCTGCTCCCCGCTGGCAAATGGACATCCCCCGAGGGCTGCCAGGCTGCCAGAGGGATGTCTGATTGCCAGCTTAGGCCCAATCCCCCGGGGAGCAGGCCTAAGCCAGCAAGTGGTCACCCCCGAGGGGTTCCACACTGCGAGAGGGCACAGGCCGGGCTGAGGGACCCCCCCTTCCCCCCCCCCGAGTGCACAAATTTTTGTGCACCCGGCCTCTAGTATATTAATAATCAACCTAAATGGAAATGGAAATCAAAAGACCAAAAGCAGCTGGATGAATTTTTAAAACAAGACCCAACTATATGCTGCCTTCAAGAGACTCATCTCAGCTCCAAAGACATAGACTCAAAGTGAAGGGGTAGAAGCTGATATCCCAAGCAAATTGCATCCAGAGAAATGTGGGGTAGCCATACTTATATCACACAAAATAGATTTCAAGAAAAAAATGGTAAAAATTTAAAAATGATAAAGGGATAATAATCCACCAAAACGACACATCATTTATTAATATACTAGAGGCCCAGTGCACAAATTAATTCATGCACAGGTGAGGTCCAGCCAGCCCGGCCCCAATTGGGGCCAGGCCTGTTGGGAAGAGTAGACGGTGGGTGATTGGCTGGTGGGCCCTGCTTCCAATTAGGGTTGGGGGGCCAACTGGGGGTGGGGCAGCCGTGGG